ACATTTAAGATATTTTAGATTAGTGGAAATCGGTAATTATTGTGCAGTATTTCTTCCCCCCCCCCAAAAAAAGAAAAATTAATCTTTGCAAACATATACATATATCTATATTTTCCAGTCGTTTAGGCCTTGGTTTAGAGCCATCTTTAGCAGTATAAATCTCGTTCAAATATAACAGTTAATCTTGTCGTCAAGAGTCTTTCATTGTAATGCGAGGATGAGATCCGGATAGCGTCATCCCACGATTCGCAATGGTAACAAAATATGTATGTAGCCGCTCTTTATCGATTATGGTCAAATTATAAGAAGTCAATGTAAGAAAAATCTCACGATAAATGTCTATACATATAATTCCAAGCGTCTAGAATTAAAATATAATAATTTGACCATAATCGATAAAGAGCGCCTATACAGAGTCCCATTTTAATGTCCCACCCCAAATAACTTTTTTATTTTTGATCTTATTGTTAGAAAAAAACGTTTTTTGTCTGAACATTTCAACTTTTGTCTGAAACATTTTTTTCTAAGATCAAAAATAAAAAAGTTATTTGAGGTGGGAAATTAAAATAGGGCACCCTGTATATTTTGTTACTATTGCGAGTCGTGGGATGACACTATTCCCGTAGATGACCCCATCTACGCGTTACAATGACAAACTATTGATGACTAAGATTGACTCACCCAAAAAATGTTCTATTTCTTAGTGGCACCCTCTTGCTGCTAGAGGAATTTCTCTTGTATATCGACTCAAGATGATACTTCAAAAGGTAGAGGAATAGAATTACTATGAAATGTTGGATTTAAAATTGCAATCCTCTTAATGCTAGAAGAATCTCTTTTCAATTAAAAAAAGATTGCTTTTTTTAATTGAAAGGAGATTCTTCTGGCATTAAGAGGTTCACATTTATTTTAATGGATGTGAGGATTGCAATAACTCTATTCGCGTAAATTAAATTTATGGTATTTTTTTTCCTAAAAGCGGTCACCCATAGTTAAGTGTTGCTTCACCTTTGCGACCGCCCGAGAACTGATGTTTCGTGATGAATTCCATATAGTTGGTATAGATGTCAATAACTCTATTCGCATACTTAAAGCAACTAAACAAAACTTAGCAATAACAATTATAAACGACGAAAACTTCACTGTTTTTTTTTAACTATGTTGCATTGTTCAAAAAAATAAATTTTCTATTTATTTAAATGGAAAAAGAATTTTTAAATTAAAAAAAATTTTTTAAATAAAAAAATAAATAATAATTATAATTAATAATATATAATAATAAAAATAAAAAATTTTTTTAAAATAAAAAATCTATATATATCTATAAATAATCTATAAATAAGCGTGTCGCGAGTATCAAGCATATCCTCTTATTTCAAGAGACTATTCGAGTTATTATAATGAAATTTTCTATAGAGGAATTTATTCTTGATTATAGCACATGTGTCCACTTATTTATAAATAAATACGCGTGATAGCTGAAGAATATGCTTAATGTAAATATTTTTACTTAAAGGAAATGCTTAAAGGAATTTCCCGCTCATAAGTAGAACATTTTTTTTGGGTGCTGTATGCTGAATAAGATTTATACTACTGCAGATGGCTCAAAACCAGGACCTAAACGTCTGAAAAATATATGTGGTTCACGAAGATTAATCTTTTCTTTTTTCTGGAAGAAATTCATGCGCAATAATTACAGCGCCAATTTCCACTAGTCTAAAATAAATTTTAAATGTTTTATTCTGGTAATTAAGTGAATTAATTTGTTTTTTATTCATGTATTAATGGTAATCTTTGATCAATGTAATGTTTTTTATCAAAGTATTTAACGAAAATTTATAAAATCTTTAATATTAAATTTTTCGCGCATAATAGATTTTTAATAGCATAGAATGTAGGATTATTTACCTATTGATACAACTATTTCTTGATGTTTTTAATGCCTTCCAATTGCTTTAATAACGTCAAATTTAAAGATAAATTAACGCTACATACTTTAATCCTTACATTATTTTTAAACAAATTGTTATTAAATTTATTTATTCAGACAAGGATCGCTGTTTAGATTCTTGCAGGATGCAACAAAGAAGCAATCGCGGTTGCCAAAGCTGCAGAATTGCAGTTTATTAGGGCCGAAGGATTTGTTTTCTCCCACGTGGGTGATGAAGGTTTTATGGATTCAAAAGCTGGAACTTTATTAAGATATAGAAAACAAATCGATGCAGATAATATCCTCGTTTTCGTTGATGTAAAAAAAAAACACAGGTAAGATCCTAAGATTCTTCTTTTCTCTTTTCCTCTCATTTTTTTTCGTCCCCTATCATCTGTTATTTCTCTTTCTTTTTCCAATCTCTCTCTCTCTCTCTCTCTCTCTCAAAGTTGAAAAAAAAGAAAAAACTAAATTTTTTATTTATAAAAAAAAAAATACATAAATGGAAATATTTTCTTTGAATACAACTAAAATTATAACTATTATAATAACAAAAATTTTAATTTATAACATTTTGTATTATATTGGATTAAATATTGAAAAATGTTAAATTGTTTGAATTCAATCAATCATCAACTCAACTCAAAATGAATAAGTATCCTGATGACTTATATAATAAAACATTAAATAATTATCAATGGAAAGGGCCAGTGAGCCTTGCACGGAATTTAATGCCAGTTATAATGTAATATATTTAACATAAAATTAACTTACAAACCCAAACGTTTCGGTTCCGCATTAAACCATCTTCGGTGAGTGAATATAAAAAGTCGTCAATAAATTATATGAGAGATCGTTTGCTATAATATAATCTGGTTAAATCGATGAACTTGCACGTAAATTTTGCCCGTGTCTCACATAAATAGAAATGTTAAGAATGGAATTGTTTATTGTAAATAATTAGGCTTAAGTCTCTGTATTAAAACGTTAGAGCTAGCCTGTTCCAAATTTAAAGAACCGGATTGGAGTAGCAAACTTATTAAACTTGTCGACTGGAATTACAGGGAATCTTTTAAACACAGAACAATAATTAAGGAAAGTTAAAAAACGAAACTGAATGTAAAGATTACACTTTGAGTCAGTGACACGGAGTTTCTCTCAGACATTCTTCCTATCTTGAACAGGTTATCTTCTTCCTAATGTCGTTTCCCTTTCCTTACTTCCTCATATTTCCACATTTTTATTCCTTCCTACGTGCTTATTTCTCTTAGGTACCGTATTTGTTGTATTCGGTCTGTCCGGATCATTCCATGTTTACCGCCTGACTGAACGTTCCGTGTGACGTCTCAATTTTTATACACTGACTCAAAGTACATTTTTTACATTAAGTTTCGTTTTTTAACTTTCCTTAATTATTGTTCTGTGTTTAAAAGATTCCCTGTAATTATTCTAGCCAGCATGTTTAATAAGTTTGCTACTTCGATCCGGCTCTTTAAATTCGGGACAGGCTAGCTCTAACATTTCAATACAGAGACTTCAGCTTAATTATTTACAATGAACGATTCCATCCTTAACATTTTCATGTATGTGACACACGGACATACGCGCAAGTTCATCGATTTAACGAGATTATATTATATTAGCGAGCGATCACTCATGTAATTTATTGACGACTTTTTGTATTCACTCACTAAAATATGGTTCAATGCGGAACCAAAACATTTGGGTTTGTAAATTAATTTTATGTTAAATATATTACATTATAACTGGCACTAAATTCCATGCAAGGCTCACTGGCCCTTTCTATTGATACTTATTTAACACAAAATTGTTCGAATTCTATCAATTGGGAGTTAAAGAAATGATTTACACTAATACGATTTACACCTTTATTTTAAGTTATTATTTTATGTCTGAAAATATACGCTCTGCGTAAATATATTATTTTATATTTTTTTCCAATATTTTTCAGTTCACACGCAATCACTTCCGATGTAAGTTTGTTGGAAACAGTAAAAGCTGCCGAATTTTTTTTAGCGGATGGTATTATAATAACCGGTAACGCAACTGGCAAAGAAACAAACGTAAAAGATCTTTTAGGTATTACTTTTTTTAGACTTTTGTTAAAATCGCTTATATTATAATATGATTCTGAAAATATCATTTCAATATTTTGATAAACAATATATTTACACTGAAAAAAGAAAATTTTCCTAATTTTAGTAAATATATTAACAATTAGATTTACTTAAGGTAAATATACCGATGAAGGGAGACTGCTCCAATGATCTTGCTCTTTATATATTTTGTCAAGAGCATGACCCCAAGTAACCTTCAGGTGATTTTAGCCGTCGCTCGTTATTCATTAAAAAGTTATTAACGAAAAAAGTAACAAAAAAATAATACCAATGGGGGGTTGGGGGGAGGTTAGGGAAAGTATATTAAATTGAATATCTATTAAATTTTCGCTTTACTAAATAGATGAGTCTACAATATACCAAAAAAAAATAGATACTGAAAAGATTAGACAGACCTCTACGCAAG